CCTTTGGCCTTCAGCAGATAATCCTTCATCTGCCTGGGACTCGCTTCGCACTTCGAATCCACAATCTGGACTCCTAGGGCCGACAGGTCGCGGACCAGACCGTCCTGTGCAAGGCATCGTTCACACCGACTGTCACCTTCGCTGAGGAAGCGTGTCCTCCCATCAGTGGCAGCGACGGCTTGCGCCATCATCTTCGGTACATGACGAACATCGAGAGGGACTCCACGATGAGATATCATAACAAGCGTGTGATTCGTCGTGCTCTCACCGGAGGATAGGAGATACAAAAAGAATAATAGGGATTCCAAGAACATAGCAATCATATTTTGTGGTAACTGAACTAAGAACAGAGTATAAGAGAGCCTTCAACCGAGTATCGTGCTGACGAATTTGTCAAACGTATCCGGTGAACCAAGCAGGACTGTGCGCATGCGTGCAACTATACACGCATAGTCATATTGTGGTAGGAGGATCTGCCCACTCCTGTTGGCCAGTCTGTTAGCTGCATTGTATCGATTGCTCGCTATATGTAAATCGACTCCGTTCGGCGGCCGAACTTCGGCCATTGTCAGCTACCTTTTTGTTGTCGTCCGCCTGTGCGGCCCTGCCTGTGCGGAATAGACAGTATAAGGCGAGCGCGAGAGCCTTATCCGTAGCTAATGTGTGCATGCGTCAAACGATCGATTGCATTCAAGAGTCTTTCGAGGGATTCTTTTGAGGATTACTGTTGGCACCCCTGCCAACCTGGTCGACCGCAGCTACGTATTATCTTATACCCGTATCTACCCTTGGGATTGTGTTGCCAGAGTCACTAGCATCGACTACCTAAAGTATCACTCGACGATCTGATCACGACTTCGAGTAGATCCGTCCACAATATGCAGTGGTCAGAATCTACAGACGAACATTCTATAGTGACTCATCGTTATCGGGCTCAATTTGAGTCGCTCAAGCGTCTTCTGAACTTACAGCTACAGAGAGCAACCGTCTATTGCACTTGGAAATCCCCAGTGGGAATGACGATGCTTGATATTTCGCTATCTCGTCAATAGGAGCCCCTCACGAAGTTCCTTTCAAGAAGTGACTGGGATATGCAATCGTGCCGATGTCACCGAAGTGGGGGGAGGAACTGTCCGCGCATTTCCAAATTTCGGCGAATCCAAATTCCAGCGAACCCGGATCGCGCATGATCCTAACCATGAGATCGCTACCTTCATTAACCTGGATAGACGAGATATCTCGTCTTTTCCCGTGATTCCGAATGCGAAGAAAATGAGAAGATCATTAGGTTCTACATTTTAATCGTGATAGTATAGTATACTAAGTATACTATTGCATGTGATCAGCCCACGGTGAGCTGTACATCTTCCTTCTACCGGAAAGTCATTCATCATCAATGATGATTCAATATAGTCGTCGTCAAAACAGTGTGTGTGGAGAACCTGCTTCCCCTATCTAATACGGTCGTCGATATTGTGTTATAGTGTGCAAGTGAGTAAAGATATTGAATGGTAGTGAATGGTAGTGAATGCTCTCGAATGTCACAGAGAAATTAGGCTCGCAAATGATGTTGAGATGTTGAGATTCAGAGCATCACCAGCAGACTGCAGAGCTACTGCTGGCAGCAGTAGCTGTGTATTCGCAGACTTGTGGGGGGTCAGACCACAGATCTCGGTGAGAACCGCTTGAATACGGATATGGCTCATCGTGTCTACGGCCGAGCTGAGGGAAGACAATCTTCCACCCTGGACGATCCAAGTCGACGGCTATGTCCTGTGCGAGATAGCATAGTCGGTATATCTCGCACATCAACATTATCGGCTCCGCCAGATGACTCGGCCCTTGTGATGATAACATTCTGACGTCTGGTGATGCTTAGAAGAGCAGCCTCTGTTGGACCACTTCCAACGACCAGCATGCTAGATATATAGGAAGTGCTCACGAGACGGTAGAGAAGTTGCATCGATAATGAGTCGAAATTGATGACTCTGAAACGCGCGCGGCAGTCCGAGAACTCCAGACTCGGACGATCCATAGTAAGCTAATTCGCTTTGAAAACGATCTTATCCTGATTAAGACTAACACAGGCTGAATGAATAACTGAAACCTTAAACGCCCAGTGCCTAGACATCTTAATGTTTAGATGAAGCCTTAGTTATGAAATCGGAGGCGAAGTCGACAATCTGTCCTGTTCTTTCAGTGCTGTTCTCCAAATCGAAATGGCCAGCGCCATCGATAAGACGATACTCTGCTGAGGGGCCGAGCTTGTGGACATACGAAGCTAACTGTGACACTCCCGTCCAGCAGTCCTCTGTGCCTGAAGCCGACGAGAAAATGACGATCGTCTATGTGATGCAGATGGTGATACCCATGATGAAGAGCTTCGGACCAGTAAACTTTTCCAGCTTAGAAATGTGACTCCCGAATAACATTCGCGCCATGTAACCGAAAGTGTAGCCAATGCAAATAAGTGCCACACAGTTGTCGACCAGCGAAGCCGCACTGCCTGCTATTGCAGCACCCGCAGATGACCCGAGCAGGATAATCTGATGAGCAAGGCGTAAGGTGGCGGATCACACTCCCACCAATCACACCTGGGCGGTATCATCCTTGGGGACAAGGTTCACTCCGACGTAGTTGGCCATGGCCACCACGTCCTTGACTTCATCCGACCCTGTGAAGGTGCTTGAGCCAGTGGAACGGCCAATCCCTCGCATGTCGAAAGTGATACAGTTGAATCCCTCTCTAAAATGAAATCAATAAACTAGAGCTGGTCACAGCAGAAGACGGTACCGTTCAGAGAGCATCTTAGCTAGCGAGGCCATGTTTGCTTGCGAACCACCCATTTTCCCCCACGGATGCACGAGTATGA